GAAAGCAGCCGAGTGTCTTAGGTTTGGCCTATCCACATTACAATTACGTCTTAAAAATCCAATTCCTAACCTAAAAATCCAATTCCTAACCTCAAAAATCATATTTTATCACAACAAAGAGAGAGAGAGAGAGAGAGAGAGAAAACCACTTCAGCTCCAAGTAATTCAAAAGTTCATAAACCCTAATTCTGTCCTTAAAAAAGTCAATATCAGTCCAATGGTTTAGGTTTTGCCTATCGCCATTACAATTACGTCTTAAAAATCGAATTCCCTTGGAATTTAAGCTACCTTAAATGCGGCCTCAACTTCCCAACATCCGGACATCAAAAAAACATTTTTTTATCAGAACAACCAGAGAGAGAAAAAAACTTCCGTTTGTTGTAATTTTTCCGCGGCTTTTGACAGAACAAACAAATCTTATCGCGGTTTTTGTGGTCAGCCATTGAAAATCCCTTGAGACGAAGCCACTGGATGCTCAAATGCGTATTTCATTCATCTCCAGTGGCCGGCAGTAGAAATGCATGATTGGGCGTACTTATAAATATTCGAAATGCAAACGATGATCCATAAACAATGGCTGTAAACAAATACAAATATAGCACCTTAAAAACAATTAAAAATTTATGGCAGCTAACTTTTTCGTATCTCAATTTGCCACTTTGGATAATCTAATGCACATACCTTTGCAATGGGTGATAGATAAGTCACCTTTTTCGTTTTCAGACCGACAGTCAGTCGGCCAATATGTCACAAAGTCCATATTTGTATTATTCATTCAAAAAGTAAAATAACAAATAGTTTTTTTTGCCTGCCTTTCAAAATTGTTATTACAATTAATTGATTTCGATCACGTTTCCAGTGAGTGTGGGCGGGTGGTTGTTCGTGACATTTGTTTGAGTTTTGAGATTTTTTTTTTCACATTCTGCCTTAACACCGTAAAAATGTTCAGTTTCAAATGCTAAACAAGTAAAAAATGAGAAATTAATTTAAAGATCGTTTAAAAATTTAATTTTGGATTTTAGTGTGGGGAGAGGGGCGAGGGGTGTTATCAGTACGTGCCATTAACTGATTACAATGTGTGTAAAGAGTGACGTTACTCTAAAAACCACAAAAAGAAAAAGTACATGGAATAAATAGCAGTGCATTGAGCTTGTTCGTCTTACATATCTTTTATCTATTTCGGAGAAGTTGAAGGCATTAAATGCGTTTTCATTCTTTGAGGGTCTCTCGAACAAATGGCTCTGATGGCCTCGAAAACAATATTTAGAAAATCCAAGTTTAGCTTTGATGGTCGCTATTTTTCAAAACCCCGAGTTTTGTTCTAATGTTTCCTGAAAACATATCTGCAAATATCCAAATTTTGTCCCCGATGGAAAATCCAAGTTTTACTTTCGATGGTCGCTAAAAAATTCATTGAAAATATCTACACCTGATCACCTTTCAATTTTTTTTTTAAATCAAAATTTTGGTTCTGATTGTTCCTGAAAATTTAATTTTAAAAATCCAAATTTTGTCCCCGATAGAAAATACAAAATTTAGCTTAGACGTTAGTCAATTTTTGAAAATTTCAAATTTTTGGAAATTTCAAGAGTTTAAAAAAAATCAAATTATTGTTCAGATAGTTCCTGAAAACATATCTGTAAAAATACAAATTTCATCCTCGATGGATAATCCAAGTTTACCTTTGATGACCACTAAAATTTTTTTGAAGATATCTACGCCTGATGATCTTTAAATTTTTTTTCAAAAATCCAAATTTTGGTTCTAATAGTTTCAGAACACATATCTGTAAAAATAAAAAATTTTGTATATTTTTTTTTTTTTTGTCTAAGAAGGGTCTCGAAAATATATTTGAAAAAATCTAGATTTTGTTCCTGATAGTCCTCAAAAAAACAAAAAACATTTTATTTGATGGCTCTTACAAAATCCCTTGAGTTCGGCCGGGCAGAATTTTTAGGAATGGAACATAGCAAAATTTCAAAAAATTATTAAAATTATTAAATATCAAATATCGAGTTGTGCCTTTATATGGAAGTTATACGAAAAGTTTGGACTATATAGCTAATTATTTGCAAGAGAACACGGTCCCTATTGCGAAGTCCAAATACCACATTAAGATAATTCAGTTAAAAAATATGGATAAAATCGGCAAAATATTGAAGTTACAATTCTGTGTACAAATGTAAATCAATAAATTGCGACTGGGTTATCTAGTAAACCTAGTTTGAACCTAGTATAAGTTCTAAGCGGTCGTCTAAAAGCTAGTGTTTTTTAACTTTAATAATTATAATTATAACAAGTAAAAAAACATTAAGTTCGGCCGGGCCAAACTTTTAATACCCTCCACCCTAGGGTAAAAGAACATTAGAAAAAATGTGGCAAAAAACATTAAAATGCGAATATCGGGAGGTACCGTTATATAGGGGCTACACCAACACGTGCACCTATAATTACAATGTTTCGCCACACGACCTAGGACCCATTATGACCCACAAATACCAACTTTTACACAAATCAGTGAAAAAATATGGCATAAATCATCAAAATACCGAATATCGGGAGGTACCGTTATATGGGGACTATACCAGAACGTGGACCTATACATGCAATGTTTTGCTACACGCTCAGGGACCCGTTGTTACCTACAAATACCAATTTTCAGACAAATCCGTGAAAAAATGTGGCATAAATCATCAAAATACCGAATATCGGTAGGTACCGTTATATGGGGGCTATACCAAAACGTGGACCTATACATGCAATGTTTTGCCACACGCTCTGGGACCCGTCATGACCTACAAATACCAATTTTCAGACAAATCCGTGAAAAAATGTGGCATAAATCATCAAAATACCGAATATCGGTAGGTACCGTTACATGGGGGCTATACCAAAACGTGGACCTATACATGCAATGTTTTGCCACACGCTCAGGGACCCGTCATGACCTACAAATACCAATTTTCAGATAAATCCGTGAAAAAATGTGGCATAAATCATCAAAATACCGAATATCGGGAGGTACCGTTATATGGGGACTATACCAGAACGTGGACCGATATATCTCATTTTCAATACCAACCATCCTAGGGACAATACACACACTTGTGCCAAATTTCAAAGGTCTACGTCAAATAATGTGTGCTCTATCGTGATTTCAACAGACAGACAGACAGACAGACGGACAGACAGACAGACAGACGGACAGACAGACAGACGGACATCGCTAAATCGTCTTAGAATTTTATGCTGATTATGAATATATATACTTTATGGGGTCTACGACGAATATTTAGAGGTGTTACAAACGGAATGACAAAGTTAATATACCCTCCTACCCATGGTGGAGGGTATAAAAATTAAACCTAAAACATTCTTCATATGTGGTCAAAACTCTTGTAAATGCAATTTTATTAATATGTATTAAAGCTGCAACCTGGTGTGAACCTAGCATAAGTCCTATGCAATCACGTCTTTTCTTACTATTTCCATTTAATACGACAACTACAAAAATTCGAGAGAGAAAAAGAGATTGCAATTAGTAGAGTGTGTGAGAGAATGTATCAAAAGATTAACATCAAGAATAACAAGCGTATATCCGTTTTTATGTTGGGTTTTGTTCTACAAAAACTTGAAATGAAGAAAAAATTATCAGTTTTGCCATGAAATTGAAAGATTGAATAGATTAGATCATATTTTATTCATTTTTTGTGATATTTTTCGTGAAATGTCGAATAACTGAAACAACTTGTTGCATATAATTTTGAATAACTCTAACAATAAACGGGCATAGCCTCAGGGATGTATTTCCATAGGTTTACGAAGCTGTTCTACCTCCTTATTGTACAATACTTATAAGCGGTGTTTTCGTATTTTTTTAATGCTAAGAAAGATTAACAAAAATTGAGTTGTTGTGAGAGTAAATTTCTGCTAAATTCTGAAAATTTCTTCCATTTTAAATGCTGCTTGTTTAATATATATTTAACAGATAATAAAATTTCAAGCTAGTATGAACCTAGCATAAGTTCTAAGTAATCAGCTGTGTTTCTTACGGTAACATTTGTCTATTAAAAACAAATCAAAAGAAAACAATATGACAACAAGATTTTCTACAGGTGAGTGTGCGTGTGAGAGAGGGAGAGAGTGTATCAAAAGAGATTATCAGCAGTCTCGACAAGAACAACAGCAATTTGTCCAGTGTGAAACAATAACAAAAGGTAGCTAATGTAATGGAACAAACAATAATTTCATACCCATACACATGCAACCCTACCCTGTATCTGAAAAAGAAAATAAACAAACAGAACAGCAGTAAAAAAAAAGAATAACAAAAAAGAAGAAAATCATTGAAGAAACCTGTTAAGAGATTTTCAGCATTCCCTCAGTAACTGCGACGCGACGGTGTTGTTATTGTTATGATACTCACGGGCTTTATTTACTGTGTGGTTATGATAATGATGAACTCAATAATGTATTAAATTTCTGGAGTCAAACCCTTTTGATTTTTATCTCAACTGCTTTTAATGGTTTTATACGGAGAGAAAGAGAGAGAGAGAGGAAAAGGAGTAGTTTTGTTACAAAAGCCCCTGATATTCACTTCTACTAAAAACTAGTTAAACAGCGAGTGTGACAGTTTATGACAATTAACTGATGAAAGTTTTTACTTTGTAAAAACTGCTTGCTTATTTTGTTTTCGTTTTTTTTTTTTGTTAAGGAATTCTTGCTGTAGTTTCCGCATAAATAAAACTGGGTTAATTTATGGGGTTTATTTTCTGTTGGCAATGCAAACAAAAAATCAAAAAGAAAACAAAGACAAATAAAAAGTTAACAGGTAGTATCAGACAGCAAATATGAATTTTTGTCAACCAAGCATGTCTTGCCATACTCCATATTAAATTAACATTTGGCACGATTTGTTGTTGTTGTTGTATTAGTAACTTATTTTCTACACAACTAATACCTATCTAATCGCACTGCACATTTTTTTGGTATTTACTCACCTTGATTTGTTAATTGGAAATTGTTGTTACAGTATTTTGTTGTTGTTGTTGGCTTTTAGCGCACTTTTGTTATGTTTGTGTGATCAATAATTTGTTATGTTTTTATAAACCATTATTGCTTTTTAAACAAAACAAGTTTAGAATTATTTAAAAACCTAAAAAATCACATTTCACATAAATAAATTATTTAATAAATAACAACTATTTTCGTTTTATTAAGAGATTTTTATTTTCGTTGATTACAGCATCCAACCATATTTGATGGCTGTCGTAAAATTGAATCTGATTGGTTTATTTTTTGTTTCTTTTGCTACACACACTTCATCTAACCAACACATAGAAATGGATAATAATGAAAGATACACAGACACCACTAGAGAAGAAGCACTGTAGAAAAATCATTAATAAATTGGCACCAATTGAAAAAACACACATTCAACCAAACACTAATATTTTATTTTGATGTTTTTGTTCCAAAATAAAAATTCACTTAAAATGAAGAAAAAATTTGCAAAACAACACCTCTGCCCAAAAACAAATATATGAAAACAAGTTCGTTACGCTCTCTCTGTCGCACAGACACACAAAAACAGCTAATGACAGCTTTAGTAAATTTAGTTGGTGATGGTGAAATTTATTTTCTTTTATTCACTTTTAATAAACTCTAATAATGCCTTATCGAGCATTATATTAAAGAAAAAGTAATAATAAAAACACCAAATAAGGTTTCTAATTAACAACTCATAGCATTGACACTTTTCAAAGGCACACACGCACTCACGAACACCAAGTATACCCGCATACTAACGTTTGCATTTGTTTTTTTTTTTATTTTGATGCATTCCATGGACATTTGAATTTTTTATTTTCATTTAAAAAACAACAAACAATTAAATTTGTTTTTCACATCAAATGCGTTCCAAATAAATACATATTTTTTGTATTAAAATTCCATGCAACCCACCGAGACCGACAAGCAACAAATAAACGAGCTCGACAACTCTCTTCACATTGGCAGTTCTCAAGCAACTAGGGAGACGAAGGTCGACTTACGACTTGGTGTTCCAAATTGACGTCAGATCAAATTTATTTAACGTAACATTGGCAGCACTTTCTCTTTGAGGGATGAATAGGGATGCCTAATTCGTAGAGTAATTTTAATGTTGCCACACTGAAATATTATTTTACCGTTAAAAACCCAGCAAATTACAATGTTTTAAAAGTGATAAATGAACAAATTTCATAAATAAAAATGTTCTATAAAACATGCTTGTTTGAAATGAATGAAATGAAAACTGTGTATTCGTTTTTTTTGGAAATCGTTATTTTTTATTACCATACGCAGTGAACCGATGTATTCCATTTCCACACTTCATCTAATACTGATAAAAAAAGGGATGTGCAAAGTTTAAAAACAATCGAACCCTTTTTCAATTTTATACGAAAAATTCAACGAAGTTTTAACCTTATTGACATATCCCATATCTATCGTTAATAAAAAATATTTAGATACACGAGTTCCCGAGAAAATGGGTGACTTTTTTGTATTTTAAAGGTTATTGTTATTCGAAATGTGGACCCTTTGTATTGATAGAAATATAGAAATGTGTCAAGTTTGAAAGGATTCGGATGTCAATTTCGCAATTTATGAGCGTTATTGCTAATTTTGGGGGAGTTACTTGAAGAAATAGTTCATTCTATCGGTTCTTGCAAAGTTTGAACAAAATTGAACTTTTTCTATGTGTTAAAATATTTTCTTTGAAAATATTGACCTCTTGCGGGGGAGAGAACTATCATGCCCACCAGCCAGCTAAATAAACAAAACCAATGTTACTTTTGTTTTGATAGTAGTTCTGACCTTAGGTCTTTTCTTTAAAATGTCCACGATTATTGGTCTTACCATCCTTAGGAAATCCATAAATATTACACCTTACGAAGATCCGTCATGTAAAGTCTAGGAAATTTGCAGTGTTTCACAAGGCTTTATCATCCTTGAAAAACCAAGATTATGAGTCATTCTTAATAATCCACCCCACACTAGCTGCTCTGTTCCAGAACCTACAAAATCTACTAGATTTGCAATTTTTTCAATATCATAACGGAAAAATCGGTTATTGTAGTATAAATATTTTGCAGTTCTGGAACCGGCCAAAAGTTTACCTTGGGCACTAAAGAATTCACAAGCACATCAAACACCAAACCAGAATCAAGAAACTAACCAACAATTTCATAGAGCTTCCAACATTTGGTCTGTTACTGAACTTGCAGAATCTACTAACCTTGAAATTTTCGTTCGATATTATAACGGTTAAATCGGTAGTAGTAAACACGTTTACATTTTTAGAGTTCTGGAACAGAGCATATCTTTCTCTGTAATTTTTCTCTTGCTATGGTAGAACATTGGGAACGTTTGGAAATATTGATATGGCAACACTTTTACTATGTGTTTTCAAACATAAGTATATTTTTATAAGTTTTCTTATACGACTCCAATCGGAGGTTGCTATAATATGCATTTAAAATTTTTACAAATTTTAATAATTGTTCATTCAAAATTTTCAATTTCACAATTTGTTTGGCAGTTCATAGTCTTAGCACCTGTGTCGATGCGACTACCTGTATTCTTCTACCATGGCTCTTGCTCTTCTATTTTTGCTACACAAAGTCGATAATTGGATTAAGCTAAAATCGGACTATACCTCCCTAGCATTTTTGACTTCAAACGTTTATAAAGTTTTCGAAGGCCTCTTCGCACAGAAACACATAATAACACATTAATAAATATTGTTTGTCAGATTTTTCTGATATTTTTTAAAATTATTATTATTTAACTTTGAAAAATTACGATTACCATTCGATTATTATCTTCGCTACCAAAGCTCGATTAATGAATCGGTCAAAAGTCGACCTACTTATTCCTAATTTGCGGTTTCTTTCACAAACAGCTGTTGATGTCAAGAGCAGTGCACGTGTATGTGTGCATGTGTATGTAGGCGGTTTTTGTGAGCAACGGCATAATATTAAAATAATTTTGGAAAATAAAGAGGATATTAACAAATCGTAAGCCGTCGTATGCACTTCAAACGGTAAAATCATAATCGTTCAATTGTCGGATATATTTAAAAGTAATAAAAGATCGAAAAAAGTATTGTGAAAATAAAACGTGACCTTAAAAAAATTAGCAAAAGAAAGTGGCGTGTTATATTGGCAAACAAAAGAGGCAGCAGCAGCAAAAACAACAACAACAAGAGGGTACTCGTGAATTTAATGTGCAAAAACAAAAACTACCACAATACGTACGTGGAGACGTCAATAGATAGATATATTTGGCAGCCAGCAGCGGCAGCAGCAAAAAAAGTGGGCTCGTCTCCTCGTTGCTTGGGTTATTACGTCACAAGCGACACCATATCGTACCACATTCCCCATTCATCATCATTGGTGGCTTTTGGTCTGTCACCCACCACCCCCATTCTCTAACCTGCCACAAACTACACAATAGCGAAAAATAGCACCAGAATTAAATTAAAAAAGAAGAAGAACACACTTGTGAGAAATTGTGTGAACAAAATAAATATAAACAAATAATTAAATAAAAAAAGTAGCACAAAAAACAGAAGACAGAAAAACCGTGACCATAAATTAATGCAGCACTCTATAAAAACAAAAGTCTAAAAACAACATCATTCGACGGGGGTAAGTCCATAAAACTTTTTATTGTTATTTTATTCATAATTTATGCATGTTCTGATAATGTAGCCTCGGAGCTATATGTTGTTGCTGTTGGTGGGCTGATTTGCATTTGCTGGGTTAAAATAAAACTGGAAATTTCAGGCAGCAGAATAGCATTCTATGAATAAATAAGCTTTCCAGAGATTCCAAGCCAAATTTAGAATAAATTTATCCCAATATTTATATTTGGGGGAAATTTTTCTTGTCAAGGTCAACTTCTATACAGATTTTTTATAATTACATGAGATCATCCAAACCAATTTTGTCATTGAAACAATATTAGAGGGTTTCCAATAAGAGGTTTTTATTTGGCATTCAAAGGTATTTACGCGCCAATTAAAGATAAATGATAGTTTTTTTCATAGAATAGAATGAAGGAAGGTCGTTGATGATGAAGTACAATATCAACCCTTATGATCAACATGAGGATAAGGACGATATTTATTGAAAAATAGGTACTTTTAAAAATTGCCACAGTCATGGGTTTGACAAAAGTCGAAAGAAAACCACCACGAGGACGCTTTTTATGAAATATTGCTGAACCTAATTGCAAACAGGCTGACTAAGAGCTAGTCTTGCGAATCCCATCTTCGAGGTCTTAAATTGTCGCTGGTCTTTTTTCAAGAACTTTTTCGTGACCAAAAGAAAGAAATCGCAAGGTGTTAAATGGCAAGATCTCGGTTGCCAACTGTGATCACCTCTTCGAAAGATGCACCTTTTTCATAAAACAGCTTTGGTTTCGGTGCTCATGTGTCACAGCGCTTTCTTGTTGAAAGTATGCCATGTCCAGATCAATATACTTCTAACTTCAACCATAAAAAATCATAAATCATCCAATCCAGTTTTCGAAAATGTAATATCCAATGATACCACTTCCCGAAATATGAACACCATCAGACAGTCACACGTTGGGGATAGATAGGCTTTTCAACAATAACTCTTGGGTTTCCAAAGTTGTTGGCATGGCCACCGGTGGGAAAATTGTCCTCCTCAGTTGTTCTTGATCGAGCATTTCGCATTTTATCAATTTCAGTGCCGTAGTTCGTTATACCCTCAGCCTGAGGGCTATAGAGGGTGGGAATGCATTATATGATGCGGCCAAAATATACCTTATTGAAATTAAGGTTTTAGACACTAGGTCTCTTTGAAAGAAATCTGTGTCAGGATGTTGGTTGTCGAAATAGCGGTGTCCATCTTGCTTGTCTGTTCGCACAATAACATTCGAGGGGAGTATCCGATATGACCCAAACTTGACGCTTGGTAATATTTTTACCAAACATAGATCGGGTTCGTAAGTGAGCCTTCTGGCAACTCCCCCACAAAATGTTAAATTTTTTATAGAAAATAATTTGCCGCATTAAACAAGAAAGGATCAACCTATTTTGTGAAAACTTTGCAAATCTCAATATTTGTATCCAGTGATATGCCTAACATTTTGGCGGCAGTCGTTGGAAATTCCAACAGGACTCAGCATCATCGCAAGAATAGCTACTAAATGAGGTTCCTTGCTTAATTTCCAGCGCACAATGGCCACCAAAATCTCCGGATATACCAATCCCTTGTACTATTGTGTCTGGAGTATTTCGGAAAGCAAGGTTGGCACTAAAAAATTCCAAAGTGTCGATCACCTGAAGCAAGCGCTTCACGGGGAATGGGCCAAAATACCGCAGAGCAACATTCGGGCAGCGTGTGACGCTTTCATTGACCGTTTGAAGACCATAAATCGTGCCAAAGGTGACCAATTCGAACAAATCTAAACTTATTCTAAAATTTGATGCTATTTCCGACATTAAAATTATGGCATTTGACTTTGTTGCAGTTATTTTTTATCACACCCTGTGTATCTCTCATAACTTGAGAACTCAACGAGAGATCTGATGTGAATATAGAATTTATAGACATACTCCTTCACGTGTCTTCCCCACAAAAGAGTGGAAATGATTATCATTTATTCTCATAATATTGTAATTAAACGATTGGCTTTCTTTAAGGTTTCGCATCTCAGTATTATTATCAGTATTATATGAAGTGGAATACTTCGGTCCACTATATCTGGTACCTCATCAGTGTTTCCACATTTTCCAAAAAATATCACATATCCCATTTAAAGTGTTGTCGATATAGTCCATATCTGGCACGGTGTAATATTTATATCAGACTTATGCCAGCTACGAAAATGACAATATTGGCCCACTCCTTCGGAACCACCTCCATAAAGGGTCAACAGTGTGAATTATCAATAACGCCAGTCAAAATATATTTAGATAGACGAACATTGGCTAAGGATATGCATTAGCCGGTATGACGACTAATACTTTTACATTTATTTTATTGAAATTTCCATAAATTTTGATTTTTTTGTCTTAGCAACAATAAATTTATTATTTATTTGATTTCTATTTCAATAATATATTTAAAGCCTCCATAATCGAAGACTTTAATAAAACACGCCAGATACCACCGGTTATATCACATTAAGAAATCTCTATAACAACTTTATGCAGGATTTCAAATGCTAACGTCAATTTAGAAATAGCACCGAATATTTGCAGCTTTGCCCACTAAAGATTCTTCAAAAGATGCTGCCCATAAATGAGCAAATTTTTATGACTTTGATTTAATATGCATAAGAATATAACAATGTTTATTATGGTGTGACATGATGGCGAGACGTTCATTGTCAATTCAAGGGTATTGTAGTTGTTACAATTAAAATTTATGCTCATAAAAAATAATGAATTTTAAAAGATAAGAAAGCAAGACACGGTTAGTGTCTTAAATCACTGGGGATCGGCTAAGGGAAATTTAAAAACATTGTCTCTTCCTAAATAAAAACTTTTCATTTTATTTATTTTGTGCACAGTGAAATATAACAATTTATGTTATTTAATTAATTTAATTCTATAAATTCAGTAAAAATTTAAATTCAGTAAATTCAGCAAAAACCTTGATCTCAAATATTATTACTCTATTTTTTAAAACGACAGATTTTATAAATGCTACATCTACGTGAATTGGCAAATATTTCAATTTATTCTATAAATACAATAAAAAGTAAAATTACACAAAAAAAAATCTTAATCTTCGAAATTATTCTTCTATTTTCATAACGATTGATTTTATAAATGCTCCATCTTCTTGTTTATTTTCCCGATACCTATATGCATTTATATGCAATGTTCCTTGTACACAGTATTTTTTGTGACACATATATTGAACCAGCCCATCTACGTCAGCGTTTGGGTGCATTTTGTCCACAAAAATAAAATCAAATAAATGTTTTTCTTTTTTTCTGTTTATCCAAGGTCAATGATCTCTTTAATACTTCTTTGTCTTGGCCCATATAAATAACTGCCTTGCCAAAGTGAGAAGAATTATATCTTGCATTTGATCACATGCCCATGCATTCGAATTTTATTACGCATGCATATTTATATTGTATTTATTAAAAATATATTTTTTTATATAAATTCATTAAATTATTTTGGAGAACCTCGAAATAATTTTCAACGTTCTGGCAACCTGTTAATATTTTTTGTGCAATAAATGTTTTTTTTAAGAAGGATTATTAACTATAGAAAGTATACAGGCTATAGGTTTGGGAAGATACTTTTCTGGTTCAAAAACAAGTTAAGGGCCGATTGCCGATTGGTCGGCCAACAAGATTAGTAGTAGTAGTTTTTGCACTTTTGTGATTTGGCTATCTTTCAACTCAAAATCACAATATGTCTTTTTTGACAGCAAATTTAGTTGAAAGATGAGCTTACTGGCCGAACTTATGTAGGTCATGGAAATATTCATTTGTACTTACCAGGGCGGCCATTTGGAGAATGATATTTGATCATTTTTCTTACGATTTGAGCTCTCAATGATCTAAGAAGATTGAATTTTTTAAAATATTTTTTCAACGGTGCTTTTTGTACAATGCCTTTTCAATGTGTTTTTTTAATAAGTTCTCAAATGTAATTTTGTTAATTTTTTTTTCAATGTGGATTTAAAAGGGGTAAGAATATATTTTCAACGAATGTTTTTAGGTGGATTTTTATACCCCACACCACATAGTGGTAAGGGTATTAGGGTAAGTGTACCAGTAGTCGGCACTTTTAGGATTTTTGAGTTTTTGTAATCGCTCACCATTCTGAGTGGAACTTTTCAATTATTACAAAGGTTATTTATTCAGATTCGAAATTTTGTATAGTTTTTGCAGTAATAAATAAAGTTTTAATAAGTTTTTATTAAATTTCATAAATTTGTAGTTTTATTAAAACAATGATTTTGTGTCAGTAGTCGGCACCACTCGCCAAATGTCGGTATGGCATGTTCCAACAGTCGGCATACCAATTTTTTGTAAGAATAATTAATAATAATAATAAATTAATTCATTAAAATATAATATTTCTGTTTAGTTAAACTGATTCGAAGTCTTTATTGTACTTTTCTTAAGAATATGAATTGTTGAGGACCTTCACAAAAATTTAATTTTTATTAGAATAAATCATCTTTTCTTAGCGAAATTGTACACAAAGAAAGCTGACAATATATTTGAAGTAGACAAAAAACATTTAGTTATAATAGTTTCATTTATTTGGGCTTATAAAAAATAAAAAGTGCCGACTAATGGGACATGCCGAACTTGGGCACACTTACCCTATGTCTTTGTGCATTTGTTTGTAACAGGGAGAAAAAAGTGAAATAGACCCATAGTTACTTTTGGGGATCTTCATAGAATCACTTTTTGAGTCGATTGATGCATGTCAGTCCGTCCATCCGTGTATTTTTGTGAACAAAATGCTGGTCGCATTTATTATCTGATTGAGATGAAATTTTGCAGACAATGTTTTTTTGCCCAAGGACGAACCCTATTGAAATTGGTGATAATCGGACCGGATTTGGATATAGCTCCCATATATCTTCAACCGATTTCTGGCAAATTGCGCACCTAATGGCTAATATAAGTCCGAATG